CGCACGCACGCACGCACGCACGCACGCACGCACGCACGCACGCACGCACGCACGCACGCACGCACGCACGCACACACACACACACACACACACACACAGTTGATCCCCATTCTGACCTTACTTACATAGAAGCCCAGTACTTCATTTTAAGTATACATGTATTATTAGCTATAAGGCTTACTAGCCAACACACAATCATAAAATATACCTTGAACTGGGGTAACCTGCAATCTCTCTCCATCATAATAGGCACCTTTGCCACGTCGTCCAATGTATGTCTTGTTATTGTAGACATCATGGATTATCCCTAGCTCTAGCTAGAACAAACAAGCAAATGCACGCATTTGGTGTCATAGAGAGAGGGCATAGCCAGCATTACATGTATTATGATTCTAATAGGCTATAAAGCAGCTAAACAATGTAAACTTGATAGCTGATGTGGTAGACTACACCTGAACTATTCGAGTAGATATCATGTGTGCTGGATGAGTTAGGTTAGCACATCCCTACGTTTGTTTTAAAAACTATAGAATTCAATGGGATTACATGGACCCATCACATCCGGAACAAGCACATTTTTAGCTGCAAAAGTAACGATGATAATATTATAATAATTAACATAAGCCATACAAATGCAACTTATAGTCATTAGAAGTTATAATAAGTAACAATAAGAGTAAGAAGTAATAATAGTAATTTGAGATAATAAATTGAGATATTATTTGTTACTTAATTACAAGTTAGCATGCATTTACTGTACCTCTTTTTGAACTGCAAGTGCAATTGAAATAGCCACATGTGGAAAACTGTAAAACAGAAATTCTCGTTTTCAATAAATTATACTACTAGTAATATTTAATAGAAACACACTACATGCATGTGACTTCATCAAAACTGAAGTCGGCCATATTGGCAGCATTGGCAGGAAGTGCAAGTATAGTTTAGACATAGACTGGTACTCGTCCCTTCTCACAAGCTCAATTGGACAGATAGGACTTTTCGGCCAAATTCGAAATTTTGTTGTTTTGTGTTGTAACATATGATTACCTTTATACAACAAACGTAATTCAACGTTACATTTTGGAGCCAGTGACCAGTCCAAAACCTGAGTATTACTTTGCGGACGCAACGTAACGTACTCCACTATGTCGATCTACGGCCCAGTGATTCAACAACGAAACAAAGAAAGAGAGAGACGAGAACAGCAGCAAGAGTAGAAGAAACGAAGAACGATGGAGAGCGATCGAGAGAGACGAAGAATGACGGAGAGCGAGAGAGAGGGACGGAAAGAGCTAGACGCGGGAGAGAACGGTGGATACACACGGCGTAAGAACTACTGTGAGTAAGTCAGCGTGAAGGAAGGAAAGGCCGGTGTTGTATCCGTGATACTGTGAGGGCAAGTCCGAGTCTCGACCTGTGAGAGAGAGAGAGAGAGAGAGAGAGAGAGAGAGAGAGAGAGAGAGACGATAGCAGAACAGAGAAGGCAAGGCTGACAGAGCCGAGACAGAAGACGTGAAAGATAAATTGCGAACTGTAATGGCCTCCCAAAAAAATCCAGGAAATTCTAGAATTTAATTGGTGGAAAGCTTCAATCTCGTACCGTCGAAACTGGACCTGAAAGTGTGACATCATCAGGAATGTTTATTTTTATCTGTTTTTCTTTATTTTATGTACGAGGTATTTTTTTCGTGGTAGATGCTTGTGATCGTTTGTCTTTGTGTGGGAAAATCTTTTGTGTGAAACTTTGTGTAGAAATGTGTGATCGTTTTCTTGAATTTGTGGTAAAGGTACGTTTACGCTATAATGTCCGACTGCTAAGGCCACCTTTTTTTTTGGTTGGTTTACAGATTTTTTTTTGGTTGTTGTTGACTCGGTAGGGTTAAAAAAATTGTCGTTTTGTCAGATCAAACAAGTCAAAATACAGTGATACTGTTATACATGATATTAAAGTATTTTAAGAAAACTAAATGAAAACAAAAATAAAAAAATACAGATTTCCAATTTTTATTTTTTTTCGTTTTTCTTGAAAATTCGTGTTGGCGGATCTGTAAACCAACAAAATCTCGCCTAAACACATGCTTCAATTATAGTTTGATAGGCCTAAAACATTTAATCGAAAATAAGATGTATTTGCGTATTCGTTTCAGTTTTGCGTATTTTTTGGCTGTATGATGTGTGTAAGTGACAAAGGTTGTCAGGTCCACATCAGTGCTGTGTGTAATAATGGGATTAAGTCCACATGGCTGGATGTATTTAATTGTGGTTTCGGTAATGCGTGTCAGTAATATAATGTAACCATCATTCTGAGAGTCATTATTGCAGGTTTTATAGATTTCCAAAGGATGGAAGAGAAAAGCAAAAAATAAATAAAAATAAAAAATAAAAAAAATAAAATAAAATAATTAATTAATTAAATATTGTAAGATCGACTTGCTACCGATGCTTTACCGCTGTCTGCAACGCACACACTCGTGTTTTACGTACGCACAACATTTTCACGCAGTTAATGTTAAGCCAGTGGGTTGTTTAGAACCAGTGGGTTCGTTGTCATGCCAATGTGACGTCATCACTTCGGAGATCTATAGCCTAAAAAGACGCAAGAGTGAGAGTAATTGCAGCGATATCAAAATGTTCACTGCCAAATGTGTTAAATTTCTGACTGGTATGGTGAACGAACTTTATTGTTACTTGTTTTGTAGAGTATAAATATAGTTCATGATTCAGTAAAGTTGAAAATATAGTTTAGATTGGCCAGGAGTCTGAAATCACGATAGGGCATCGTGTTATGAAAAGGGGGAGAAATGTAACATATGATTTACAGATGTTACATAAATTAGTTAGAGACGCGGAGTTGTTATAGTGGTAATCTATGTAGACAGAGCGTTGCTCGTCTTGTGCGGCTACATTGATGTTATAGGGAGAATGGTTAACGTGTTTTAGGTCGGGCGTTTTTAGGGTCATTGTGAAATGAGGGTAGGCACATATGGCTGTGGGTTAGTGACATATGTGGGGGCAAAAGTGTGGTAGGCTGGGGAGGAATATATAGAAGAGGGATGAGAGAATGAGAGGGAGAAATGTAGGAGTTGCGGAGTCTGGTGGTGGTCGCGTGAGTAAGCACACGGGCTTACACGCATGTGTGAGTTTCCTTGTCTCTGTGTGCAAGGAGATTGACGTGAGCAGACAATAAAGTTATTCAGTTTACCACACAAGTTTGGATTTCTTCATCATTTAAACATCGAAAGTTATTTCAACGTTATAGTGTTTATTTGTTTGTGTAATGTTGATTATTTATTATTATTGACAGTAAATCCTAAATATAATTACATAAATATTATGGATGGCACTAACGTATGTGAACTGGGATAAAAAAGTATTTGGAATTTTTTTTGAATTTGGCCGAAAAGTCTTATCTGTTGAAAATATGTGGCCGAAAAGTCATAGGCCGAAAAGTCCGTGGCCGAAGTCCTACATTCATCTGATTAGTCGCGAGGATTTAAAGATGGCCGCGCCCAGCGTAAGACACAGTATCGACTAGTCTTACATGAAAGATTTTTTGGCCGACCTCTTGCGTACATTGTGTTAAAAGTATTGCTTATGTGTGTTTACGTATGAGTTTTAATTTTTTCCCGGAATAAAGATTGTTTCGTATTTCCATGTGAAAGGCATCATTCATGTTCCGCCATTACCAGCTTAAAAGCAGTGACCCGGATGTTCCTAATTGCCCGGATGAAAGTCGGCCACTTGGGTGGCCAAATAATTAAAATTGGTGCTCGCCTGTCCCTATATCGAGCTTGTGAGAAGGGACGGGTACCCGTCTAAGTTTAGACAAAGCTCCAACATTTTCAAACGAATATTGGTGAGTTAGGCCACAATTAAAAAAGTATTTGTTTGCCCTCGCCCGACCCTGGTTGAAAAGTTTGGGTAGGTAGGTAGGCTCCTTTTTTGAGGGGGGTCTTTTTACAACATCAGCATAGTGTCTACATGCTCGGGTGTGCTTGTATGGAGATCCCTTTAATGTCGAATGTTTGTTTTGCTTGGTCCATATAATGTATTGCCTACAGATTTATATAATGTACCACTTAATACAATTTGTTTAAAAAAAGAATGGGGAAGATCAATAAACATTTTTGAGTCAGCCCCTTTTTGGCGGGTCGGTCTGGTGAGGGCAAACAAAGAATATTTTTTATTATGGCCTTATTGTAAGACAATTGGTTGTACTAACCAATATGATAGAGAAAAGTATAGGATATTCTTTCGAGTACCTGCTATTATAACTAACCAGGGAGAGGAGTGTAGAAAATGGTCAGAAGAGAGGAGACGACAGTGGCTGGCAAACCTAAATCAAGACTTCAATGACAAAAAATGTAGACAACATTAGGCAACAACTCAAATTGGGGGGACATTTGGCACACATGACATCTTTTACATTGTAAAGATACAACCAGTACAAACAGTCAGACGTGACAGTCAAAGTGGCGACCTGCCACAGTCACTAAACAGCTTTAGCCAAGGACCTATAGGGTTGTCCCTCAGGAAGGAACAGAAATCAGATGTAATCGCCAATAGTTGCACTTCAAGCCACCAAAATCAAAAGCAACTGAGACTGTGGATACTGTCACACAGCCTGCAAGTAATTTGAGCGAGGTCACTGTCACATATAAAAACCTTCAGGAAACATGACAAGCATGCAAACTGCAAGAACACTGCCAGGCTATGTGGGCAACAGTGTGCCACTATTCTGTTGGTCACAAGTTCAATTTAATATTATCTGAATGTTAGAATCCTTGAGATGTATTCTCCTTTAAAGAGGAAAGGAGTTACGTGAAAACGATTTACATTAAGTTTAACAAATAAAATTGCTCCTAGGTAGCACTGCCGTCCAGATTTTGCTCTCCTTTCAAAATGGCGCATGAATAAAATTTGAGCTCCGGTGAGGTCCATGTTCCCTTTGTCGGTTCTGTTCATACACTAGATCACAAGCTACGAAACAGATACCAAACCCACCCAAAAATCTGAATGACCTGAAATCCACCCTGCAATCCCCCGTTCCCCTGCTTGGCCTATGTCAAAATGTGACTTACCCTATTGTATCCCACTGGGTAGTCTTGTTCTGTGTGTGTGTTCTCGCGATGTACGTGTGAATGGTCACGTGATGTGATCGTGGTAGTTGGAAAATGACGGAATAAGAAGTGGACGAATAAAAACCATGCTTGTTGTCTTTCACTCATGTTTATGCTGGCGTGTTACAAGGTGGCAGCGTCTGCGAGCGGTAACAGACTATCAACAACCGAGGACAATCTTGTCCGACAACCAACATTGCCAAGTCGAGTGTCAGTGCCACCAACCGTGAGTAGGTTAGGCGGCGTGCCCTGTCCGAATGCGGGCTGGCGTTGTAAACACCTAGCCGTGACGAAGCGGATTTGATACAGGACTGGAAGCCGCTATACTGAAAGACTTGCAGACCAACGTGCGTGCTATTCATAGCCTATACTGTGGATGTACAGCTGTGCCTGAGTGAGTGATACAAGTCTATCTACGTTATCGTGTGTGTGGCCACCCAGCTCGACCAGACCAGCAATTCGTCGTGGGACCAAGGCGGGCAGGGACTAAGAATACAGTTGTGTTCCACAGTACGTACCAAGTTCCTACGGCGCCGGATACAATACCAGGAATCAATTAACTCTTTGCGCATTATTTCATCTACATGCACATGTATGGGCATTACAATCATGTACAGTACTACCGTGTAGAGCAACGTTGTGCTCGCGTGGTGTGATGTGTTGATGCCGTGTACGGGTGGTATACTTTCGTGTAGGATAGACTAGTATACGTTTTATGCAACGCTTATGCATGTTTTTGATTTGTAGTAGTTTAGGCTAACCGCAGTTCGTTTATGTTGGCCTATGTTTCGTAGTATGATGGTACACAAATGGCATATATACCTACTGGTTAGAGGCACATATACGGAAAGTTCAGTGTGATACATGCTGTATGACGGTACACCCTCACGATATTTGCATACACAAGTACAGTAGTCGTGTAGATGCATGTACGTTGTACACATACCGACATACACATCTTGTTGACGTGACATTTGGGTAGTGCCCCACAGGGATCCAGTATGGGAGACCATGAAAATGATGTACCGGGGTCCGACAGAGATGACCTTGCACCACAGGTACAAGCAGGGGATGTTCCCGCCCAACATGTACAGGGGGTGCAACATTATTATAGACCAAATATTAAGGCACCAGGTCTGGTAGACGTCACCGGTGATGACAAAAAAGGAATTGGAAGTGGGAGAACTATTCCATCGCATCCCAGTTAGAGCACCAGCCACAGCGAGTACAGCGTGCAGGGTTGTTAAATAGTTTAGGTCGGGACACATTGCGCATCTACAATGGTTTAGACGGAGTACCAGGTGATACAGTACAGAATATAATCTCGAAACTGGACTCCTATTGCACTGGTCAGACCAACGAGGCAGTAGCAGATTATTTGTTCTACACACGTGAACAACGTAAGGAGGAGTCGGTAGACATGTGGCTATCCGACCTCAGGACAAAACAAAAGGTCATCACTTGGACACACCGCAACATGAATGCTGAACAATTAGCTTTGGAAATTGGATAATCTGTGGCATTCTGGATAAGGATGCGCAACAGAAAATGCTGGATGAAGGCAACCCGGATTTCAACAGAGTGATTGAAATCGCCAAAGCCAGCGAAGCAACCCGGCAGTACACGAACACCATAGGTAACAATACAGAAGTACATAAGGTGTCACACCGACATGAGGCGTCACACAAACCTATCGTGAAAAACAGCCACGAAAGGGACAGCGACCAAGTGGACCCCGAGAGGCAGAATGCATATACTGTAACAGACGCCATGTAATGGTGAAGGAGAAATGCCCTGCTTATGGGAAGAGGTGCAATGTCTGCCGCAAAGCCAATCATTTCCACGGGTCTCGTAAATGTGCAAAAAGTAAACCCGTGCATGCCATGGATGACTTCGAAGAACAGAGCGAGTGCTCGGAGTCAACCGATCAACAACAAAGTCTGTATACTGTGAGATGCTAGTTTGGGATGGTCAGCGATACACTAACCCGATAAAGTTACAGCTGTGGTGCTACAGTCAACGTTGTCCCAAAGAAATAAATTCCAAGGTCCGTACAGGTCATCAAAACTGATGTTACGCTGTCTATGTCGAATAAGACTGCAGTAACTCCACTAGGCGAGTGTGCATTGAAACTGGAAAACCCCCAAGACAGGCAGGAAACACAACGTCAGGTTCATAGTGGTTTCCCACTAGACGCTTAGACCTCTGCTTAGTAGACTGGCAGCAGAAAAAATGGGGCTCATTGCCATTAACTATATGATGTTCAAGTCAGGTAATGCAGTGGCCAGGGCTATATCTGGAGGAGGCCCCTGAGTGTTCGATGGAGGACTGCAAAAAATGTCAGGAACGGTACACCTGGTAGTGAAAGAAGATATTTCCCCAACTGTCTGTCATCCACAGAAAGTCCCAGTGGCAATTAGGGACAAGGTAAAAGCAAAGCTGGAGGGCATGGAGTCCAAAGGTGTCATCGACAAGATGGACGAACCCAGTGACTGGGTAAGCCAAATGGCAGTGACCGTGAAGAAGAATGGATACCTTAGGATATGCATAATTCCGAGCCCTTTGAATAAGGCACTCAAGAGAGAGAGAGCATTTCCCCATGTCGGTCCTAGACGACATACTACCAGACCTCTCAAAGGCACAAGTTTTCAGCCGTCTCGATTTGCAAGATGAGTACTGGCACTGTGAATTGGATGAGGAATCCAGCAAGTTGACAACCTTCCAAACGCACCTTTGTGCTATAAGCGGAAGCGCCTCCCATTTGGGTTGAACGCGAGTGCTGAAACATTCCAGAAACGTCTCAAAACAACGCTAGAAGGGTTGGAGTCTGTAGAATGCATTGCAGACGACATAATCGTGTGGGGAGTTGGTGACTCGATGGAGGAAGCACGTAGAGACCACGATAAGAACCTAGAAGCTCTAATGTTGAGAGGTGACAAACACGGTTTAAATTTCAAAAAGTCGAAGTGCAAGTTTAGAACAACCTGCACAGTGTTCCAAGGCCATATCATAACAGTTGCAGGCCTGCAGGTAGATCCAGAAAAGGTCAATGCCATTCATAATCTGAATACCCCGAAAGATGTCGAAGCAGTGATAGTTTTGCGAGGCACAGTGAATTACCTGGCCTGGTATCTGCCTCAGCTGTCAACCGTGATGGAGCCCATTAATAGGCGGACCAAGGAGGATGTTCCTTGGCATTGGGAACACGAACAAGACCAGGCTTTGACGAAGATCAGAGACATAATCTGCACAGCACCAGTAATGGCATATTATGATCCCAAGAAGAAGCTGGTGCTACAATGCGATGCCAGTGAGTAAGGCCTGGAGCTGCACTGTTATAGGAGGGTCGTCCAATAGCGTATGCCAGCCGGGCACTTACAGACCCCGAGACAAGATACGCTCAAATAGAGGAGGCAGTCCCAGTGGCGTGGTCACTTGAACATTTCAGGCAATACACATACGGGAGGAAAACCATAGTGCACACAGATCACAAGCCTCTTGAACCGATCTCAAAGAAACCACTGTGCAAGGCCCCTATACGTTTACAGGGGATTTTCATGAAGATCCTGGAATATGATATTTACCAGTGGAGACATGGGAAGGAGATGCACGTCGCAGATGTGCTGTCCCGATTCTATCTACCTAAATCGACAGGAATGTCAGACATTGAGCAGGTATGCATGGTAGACTACTTGCCGATCTGAACAGAAAGACTCGAACAACTCAAACTAGAGACAGAAAGGGACGAGACATTGCAGCTCTTGAGGTCAGTGATTCTGAAGGGATGGCCAGAGAAGAAGCATCAATGCCCTACCCAGGTAACGCCATACTTTAGCATACCTGATGAACTGAGTGTACAAGACGGTTTGATATTCAGATGCGAGAGGCGCGTCATCCCTGCAAGCATGAGAGACCAAATGAAGACGGCTATTCACACCTCTCATTTAGCACGGGTAGAAATTAGTTTTAAAATTCACAGGCCCATCGGGCCTGTAGGAAAGGGATTTTACAGGCCCACCCGGCAAATTACAGGCCCGCATCATTCCCTGGATACCGCAACATTTTTTTAACTAAATGACCGAAATTTGAAATTTTTACAATGCTTTACGTTCGTACGCACAAACAGCCATTTAGCTACGTTTCCATCATCATCATACACGTGCACGCGTTCACACACACCCATACTGATCATTTACCGTGCGGATCATACAGCTTGAATGATAAAGCTAATGTTTGGGACATATAGGGCAGAGAAAAACAACGCTACATCGTAGGGCCGGTTTATTCAGTTAGTTGATTTCATGGCAAGAGAAAATGAAAAGGTTGAGTAATGTAAACAAAGGAACCAGCCAAATCAGGCAAAGATAGGGTTGAGTTTTTCCTGGCAGACATAAAAGTTGAACACACACACCCCACCTCACCTACAAACACATCACCTCACACGCACACACACCCATACACTCATCTTGAGTTTGTGGCTTGCTGGATACGGCATTGACTGCTTTAGTCACAGCTTGCCATGTCTTTTTATTAACTACAGCTGCCAGTTGCCAGCAAAACTTCCAAACAGTCCTCTTTCCCACTTCATAAATTATGAAGTCAATTTCCTCTGCGGAAATATTCCTATTCTTCCGCCACTTTTACAGTTGCCGTGTATATTTTAAATAACTTTGCTCTCACCATAATCGTTGAGAATGGTGCTATAGGAGATCGGTGGCTAATTCATAAATGCTTGCTTTACGATACCTTAAGTTAATCCACAAATTGCAGCAGAGCAACGATATAATAAAGTTCATACTTCGACTAGGTGTGTTGTTGTACGTGCTGCTTTGGCATTTTGAAAAGCCAACATTGATTACCAATCCGATATTCAGATGACATTCTTCTTTTAATGCCAACATTCTGCCTAATGTGTTAATGGTGTACAGAATATTGGGAGACTGTGCAAATGATAAAGCACATCACGGATAGGTGTTTTACGCAAACCACGTTTGGTCATAACGTAGGGAAGCTTATATTTTGCTCCTCCCTGTACAAAATGTATAAAGTTTTTCCAAACTTTAAAAACAATATGACACGGTTAAACCTGAGTGGTGCGACGAGGCTGTGCTGCTGTTTGTATGACTAGTAAGTAATACTACGTGCTTTGCAGCTACAGTGACTTGTGTTAACTTAAAACAATTATTATTATTTACTGTATAATTCAACATGCTATATTACCTAAATCTTCTTAATATTATTTAAAAACAGTATACTGATCGTTTGTTAACTACCAGTGATACTTTATTGTTTACATCCAAACGTGAAATGCGCGGGGATGTGCAAATTACTCCACAACCTAGCGCACGTAAACAGTGAGCGTGCCGCACGACCCATGCACGTAAATCGACCTTGGCCAACACAATGTAAGGTTCACTGCCACTAGCCCAAAGTAAGCTCCACCCAATTCTTATCGATTTTTGGTATGCCAACGCTGCTAGTCTGGCTGGATTCAGGAACCTGTGCTAACCTATGCGTCCGAACATCCCCACGCACGTTTTTTGAATGCCAACTAAAGCTGTGTGTGAAGTGTTCTAAATTTTCTGCGTACGCACTTGTGCGTACGCATTTCTTCTTGAATCCGGCGCTGAGATCACTATTGCATGCTGCTAGTTGCATGCTGGGGTGGATTTTCTACGGGCCCGTCGAGCCTGCTAGTATTAGAAATGCAGGCCCGAGCCTTAAAATACGGGCCTCGGGCCCGTTAGGATTTCGAACCCTGTTTAGGGGAAGAGTCATGTCTCAGGAGAGCCAAAGAAGCACTATACTGGCCAGCCACGAATGCGGAAATCAAGGGCTTCATATCAACTTGCGACGCATGCTGCAACCATGAAACTGGCCAGTGCAAAGAAACTATGATGCCACATGAACTACCTGGTAGACCCTGGGAAAAGGTTGCAATCGACCTATTTACTTGGGAAGACAGTGACGTCAGATTATGACACCAATTTCTTGGAGGTGGGCAGACTGAAGAGAACCAACTCTTCAACTATCATCAGCAAACTAAAAAGGCATTTTGCCAGACAGGGAATACCTGAACAGGTCAATAGCGACAATGCTCAAAATCTGACATCCGATGAATTCCAGAGATTCGCGAGAGACTGGGATTTTGAACACGTCACCGTGAGTCCATACAACAGCAAAGCAAATGGCAAGGCAGAGTCATCGGTGAAGGCAGCAAAGCGGATGCTACGGAAGATGAAGAAGTCCGGAACTGATCCATATTATCGCCCTGCTGGAGATTCGCAACACCCCAACACAAGGAATAGGCAGTAGCCCCATGCAGCATTTAAATAACTGTCAGGCACGCACCCTGTTACCAATGACACCAAACCTATTCAAGCCTCGGGTGACCAACTTTGAAACAGAGAGACATCAACTGCAACAGCTGAAGAATAGACAAACAAAGTACTACAACAAAAACACAAAAGATCTGCCTGCACTGGAAGAAGGTGACACCGTAAGAATGAAGCCTTTCGCTAAAGGACAACGAGAATGGAAGAAAGGTGTTGTAGTGGCTAGGCTCGATGAGAGGTTGTACACAGTGGACACACCGGATGGCAGTTACAGACGTACTCGTGTGGACCTTAAACACACCATGGAGGAACCACCACCTACTATTATGCAACGAAAATCGTTACACATACCACCAAGGATGACGGGTGGAAATGAGACAATATCCCCGAGGACCAAGGGTAACACGGAACCAATCCACAAGCCTATTGGCCACAACAAACCTGCAAGAGAAGAACCCGTGGCAATATCTAGAGAGCAAAACAATTCACATACGCCGACAAGGAAACTGCCCCCCCCCAAATCAATACATACTTCTCCCCCACTTGCACCACTTCAGAACAATCACAACACCACCAGGTCAGGTAGAACCGTTAAGAGACCCGCTCACCTAAGCAATTATGTACCGTGAGCGATGATAGAAGGTAATGGGGCCATCAGTACAATCTGACGCCATACACACAGGAAGATTCTAACTAAGTTGTTTTTAAGGATACAAAACCTTCATCAATTGAACTGTAGGTCAGGATGATATCATTTGAATGTGGCATTTGTTAAAGTCCCTATAATAATGGCAAATTTTTGTTATCGTTGTCACTGAATTGACGTTTGTTAGTTGACTGTATTGCAAAACAGGTACGCTGTATACAAAGTTCCACGTGCACAGTGTTGAGAGTCTTCAGGTATTTCATATAGGAGAATAGATGTATCACACTGGGTAGTCTTGTTCTGTGTGTGTTCTCGCGATGTACGTGTAAATTGTCACGTGATGTGATCGTGATAGTGGAAAATTGCGAAATAACAAGTGGACGAATAATGACCTAATGAATAAAGTGCCTTCCTTGATATCTCAAATGAAAGTGTCAATGACACTGTAGCTCACCTTGGGTGTGATAGAAGAGGGAGGGGGATATATAAAGCAAGTGTATACATATGGGAGAACTCCCATTATATAGCATATCTCCCATTGTATACTCTTGATGATATATGCATAAGTTTTGATGCGAAAATAAATGTTTCAGATTTGAAAGAATGAAATCCTGACAACGCTACGCCTAAATGATCGCCATTTTGGTTTTCGAATATCGCGCAAATAAAAACAATAAAATATTCCAGTCAAATTACTTTAATGAAGAATCTAAAACACAATATTACACGTATATAGGTATGATTGTAGAGTTGTTTACCAGTTAGACGAAATAAACGTATTAGGACGTTGTCATCTCTCCCATCAGAGTAACAACTATTTTGGGGCTAGCCTTACACATTCATATACCAAAATTTAACAAAATCGAATGAATCTACAGGGGTAGAAATTAAATTTTGAACAAGGGAGTCCAACGGACTCCCAACCCTTAAAAAGAGGGAGTCCGCAGCAAAATGAAGGAGTCCGCAGTCTGAGGTTCAAAATTAAAGATATTAACAATAACACATGTGTTTATTTTTAAGATTCATGCCGTTTGAACGTCTGCCAAATTTTCTTTGCACATTACCTGAAAAAATACGGTAATTCTCTGAGAGGCCGTGCTCCGGAACGAAGTTAGTATGGCATAATTTTCAGCGAGTCACACGGACTCCTGCATATGTCAAATCAGGGAGTCCGACATTAAATCAGGGAGTATTTGACTCCGGACTCCCGTTAATTTCGCACCCTGAATCTAGATGGCCATTTTCATTTTTGCCAAAAAGTGGGTGTGGCTCGAAAGTAGGTCGACTGGCGTGCTCTAAAATAGGACGTTCAAATCTCTCCCATAGGAGTAACAACTGTATGCAATTTGAAACATGTGGGTCAAAAGGTTCTTGAGTTATCGTTGACCGTAGGCAGACACTGAAATGCAGAGAAATTGCCAAAATCTACCTAATTTGCATAATTTAAAAATAAAAATAAAAACCTGTGTGATGTTTTGGGGCCAGTCCTCATTCATTCACATCCCAGAAATGAGCAAAATCCGTTGAACCTGAACTGACTTATGGCCATTTCCATTTTTGCCAAAAAGTAGACGTGGCTCAAAATTAGGTCGACTGGCGTGCTCCAAAATAGGACGTTCAAACCTCTCCCATAGGAGTAACAACTATATGCAATTTGAAACATGTGGGTCAAACGGTTCTTGAGTTATCATTGACCGTAGCCAAATGTTGACAGACGGACGGACGGACATACGATGGACGACACCCCATGGCAATAGCTCATCTTGACGATGTCAAGGCAAGCTAAAAACCATGCCTGCTGTCTTCCACTCTGAGATGTTTATACTGGCGCAGGGTTAAAAATTAAATTTTGAACAAGGGAGTCCAATGGACTCCCTGCCCTCAAAAAGAGGAAGTGCGTAGCAAAATGACGTCCGTAGTCTGAAGTTTAAAACTAAAGCACAACAACAATAACGCATGTGCGTATTTGAAGATTCATGCGATGCACGTCTGCCAAATTTTCTTTGGACATTTGCTGAAAAAATACGGTAATTCCGTGAGGCCGTGCTCTGGAACAAACTTGTTAGTATAGCAGAATTTTCAGGGAGTCTCACGGACTCCTGCAGATGTCAAATCAGGGAGTCCCACAGTAAATCAGGGAGTATTTGACCCCGTACTCCCGTTAATTTCGCACCCTGCTGGCGTGTTACACCTATAACTTTGTATACAGAATCAGGTGATTTTGCAAAAAAACATTAAAAAAAATCACTGCAGGTCGTGCAGGTGTCAATATCTGCCAATCAAGGCACATGTACCGACAGTGGGGTCACCCCTGCTTAGCATCCTCAATTATTTGTCCTAACATTTTTCACTGGAATTGCATGCCCATTTTTCACCATTTTGTAACATACTAGTCTCGCATATCTTCTGGTTTTGATGTAGGACAGCATTTAAGTCCGTATGTGGTATTTATTATACTCCATATATTTTCAGATTCTATTACACTTCAGGTTACAACATAATCATTACTGCTCTAATGTAATCTTCTCAATAGAAATTTTCGTCATAACCTTATGAATACATTTCCTGCTAGTAGATGAAGCTTTAAGGGCACATATATCATACCACATAAGGGTAATGAAAATTTTGATGCACCTTTAAACTAAATAAACAGTTCCCTTTATCACTTATATGTCCATACTTGTGAACAAAGTTGGTAGTGCCGTCCACTGGATCAATAATCCAGGTTGGGTGGTCAGTCAGTTCGCACTTTTCTCCTGCAGCAACTGATTCTTCACCAATAAATCTATGCAAATAAATTCAATATATTATAATAAGATGAATATATGATTAATTATCTGTACACATACTCGCTTGTATGATGAATTAAAACACAAAAATGTAAGGTTAGGATTCACCTGTTTATCAGATATATATTGTAAGCAGGCAGATGTCATATGCCACGCGGAAGCGACAGCGATACGGGGAAACGCAATTTTGGCGCCGCAGTGTCGAGAGGGTTGTCACAACATGCTGGGAGTGGACACTACGCGGGCCAGTCGAGCACGTACGAGAGTAAGCAATGGTCGAGCTCGGGGCTAAGGTTTCCCCGGGCATTGCGCATTGTGACAACCTAGACGCTGACCAGATGACCTATGACATCAGGGCAGGAATGGGATCATGGAATCCGGCCAAGTGCGAAGCCAAGTGCGAAGTCACATATCCATATCATTCGGTTTGGGAAAAGGAGAAGGTGTAGGACCGCATTCCCCGTATTTGGTATGTCCAGTTGGCCGGAGAAGCGGAGAAGGGAGCTATAACGAGAGGTGACGTAGGAAAAGGGCGCGGCGTATATAAGGTGAAAGCCATCGCTTCTCGAGGCTCTTGTTAGAAGACACTGATCGAGAAAGGTGTAAGTGCGTGATACGGTTGCTATGTAAATGAACGGTCTTGCTAGTCTGTAGTACATTGAGATTTCATGTTGTATGATGTAGTAAAACACTACTGAACGCTACTTCTTGTCTTGTCTCTAGTTTATTACAGAACCTCTTAAAAAGGTAGCGCGAATCACGTGTCTACATTTGTGGTGCCGACCAGTCCGAATTGGGTATTCCATTGCGCACAACGCAAGGGAAGCGAGCGATCGAGAAGAAAACGAACCGTATCATTGCATCACGCATCGGCATGTTCTCAACGGCGAATCGGTAAGTACTAATATTTCCGGCTTAAACGATGTGGTAACAAAATTTCTTGCGAGAAGTGCTTTACGTACACGTATGAGCGTAGTTAATTTTGCGGAGTAATTAAGGAGAGTATAATAGTCATGGATCCATTAGTTACTACACTCGAAGATCCACTCTCGATACCTTCCGCCGCTCAGTTCGTTGATATGCCTCAATTAGATCCTAATAATTACGAATCCCACCTATGTGCCGCCGCTCGTAGAACTGCCGCAGATGGCATATTATATTACGCAGCTTGCGACTGTATTTGGGGAAGCGTTGAAACCATCCTTAGACAGTATAGGTAGCAATGTTGATAAAACGTTGCGCGCCGCGGAGCTACGAGCGAGTATACCTAAATTTAGTGGGTCACCGGGTCCCCTACAGGTCACGTTTGCGCAGTGGCGGGATGCCTTACAACTCGCGCGCGTTCAATTAGACGTAACTGATAAGCAATTTTTATCGATAGCAGTATCGACGTTAACAGAGGGGGCAGCGCAATTTGCGCGTCGACATTTGCTTGCAAACATAGGCATCACTTGGTCACAACTGTTTAGTAATTTGCAGCGTCAGTATAGAAACCCGGCAGAAATTCCGCGCGCGCAGGCAATGTTAAAAACTTTCAAGCAAAACCGTTTGGAAAGCCCGCGTGCGTATGCAGAGCGTCTAATTGAATTATCAGAAGCCGCGTATCCGGATAGTCACAGAAATGAGGCGTCGTTTCAAACACGTCTCACGGATATATATCTAGATGGCCTTCAAAGTGTCCTGCAACAAAGATCAGTAATAAAAGCACATCCGGCAACATTGGAAGCCGCTGTGGAAATTTGTGTGCGGCAAGCGACAGTAGAAGCTGAATAAGCAGCTCGCCAACGCGCGCGTGCGTGCCAAACGCTTGCATCAAATGCAAGCGACGAAAATGGTCAAACTGCTGATTACGCCGAACTCGGTCGCGTGCCGGTTTCTCGTACTGCTCCAGTATCTACTGCCTTGGAGAATGACGAAATTTGCCGCCAGCTTGCGCAGTTGGGGGAGCTAGTCAAAACCCAAACACAGATGTTGGATGCTGTGCAGAGATCGTTTGCGGGATCGTCGGCTGATCAGCGCGCATTTGATTATAATAGACAGCCATTTCGCTATGCGCCTCCATTCGCACCGTTCACTATCCCATCACAGTCCTACATTCCACCTTCAGCGCGCGCGCCACCGTCTGCACGCTCCCGAATCACGCCGCGCTGCTATGAATGTGGGCGGGAAGGACAAATTGCTCGTGATTGTACGCTCAGTAGAAGTCAGCAGCGGGGAAACTTGAAAGGGGGTCAAGCATGAATAGGGAGAATGTTTTTCCAAAACCCCCAGAATTCCCATATATATTGGCATCGCGCGCACTAACGGCTAACACTGCGCCCGGTTGTACAGTAGAAATAGAGGGTAAATGTGTTAACTCATTACTTGACACTGGGGCTGACCTTTCCCTATTAGGAGCAAAACAGTGGCGAGCAATCTCACTCTCGCGACGTACGATGGTAGTAAAGACGCCATTTTCCACGCTGTTATCAGCCAGTGGACATTTCCTATCAGTGTTGGGGTCGGTTAGACTAACGGTGGTAATAGGGGGGCATACGTATTCAGTTGTTTTCCATGTAGTAGCCGACTTGCCCAGACCGTGTGTATTAGGGGTGGATTGCTTGCGTACAAATAGAGCTATAGTAGTTTTTCGGAGGAATGTCTTGCAGCTGGGATCGGCAACGCTTAAATTAGTCTCACCTAGTCGGACGGAATCGCTGTGCGCTGCGCGGACAGCGGCTGTTACGCTGCCACGGCGTGCGCGCGGGGGTGGTCGATTGATCGCGCCTAAGAGTGTGAGTCAGGGGGCGCGGTATCACGTTACACCCGTGGATAATCGAGCGCGAGCATGTGCAAGGGGGAAGTCACGTTTTCCCTCGCGAATCCTAACTAATAGTCTCGACAAACCTAATGATCTAATAGCAAGTAAAAATACTCACACAGGATTAATACATAAGGATACTGATACGCCACCCGTGTCAGTCCAACGTCCGCCAAATGGGAACAGGGGTTATTTACAATTGAGCAGCCGGGCGCAATAAAGCCAGATGTGGGTACGACAGGCGAGCAGCGCGCATCGGCGAACATATTGGATTTTCGGCAGGCAGTAAGCCATGTGGTAGATTTTAAGCAGCAGCGGTGTATATTACGACTATTAGAATCCAATGCGCGTATTTTTGCAGCATCGGATAGAGACCTGGGACGGACGACCGTCATGGAATTTCAAATAAATACGGAAACAAATAGGCCAATTCGATCAAAACCTTACAGAATATCAGCCGCGCATGCACAGATCGTACAAACGAAAGTTGATGCACTGTTGGAGGCGGAAATTATAGAGCCGTCACAGTCCCCATGGGCCGCGGGTGTTCTATGTGGAGGATGTGTGTTGATTTTAGAAGGTTGAACGCAATTACGATAAAAGAAAATCATCCGCTCCCCCAAATAAATGACGTTCTTCATGAGTTAAATGGAGCGCGTATCTTCTCGACATTGGATTTGCGATCGGCATATCACCAATTACCCATCGCGCCGCGGGATAGACATAAAGCTAGTTTTGTTACGACGGGGGGCCAATGGACTTATTCTTCTCTTCCATTCGGGTTATGCAATGGGCCTTCTGCTTTTCAGAGACTCATGCATTCCGTGCTGCAAGGATTGGTGGGTAAATTTGTTATAGTATACATTGATGATATTGTTGTGCATAGCGCCAATTTCGATTCACACGTAAAACATTTGTTGCAGGTTTTCGACAGATTGCGATCTGCTAATTTGAAATTAAAACTAACTAAATGTTGTTTTCTGCGTGAGTCTATTCAATTTTTAGGCCACATAATCGATTCTAGAGGAATTAGACCAGACCCAGGTAAGATACGTGCCGTGCTTGATTTGCAGCCTCCCACGACGGCTACCGATGTCAGGCGGTTCCTAGGGCTAAGTGGCTACTACCGTAAATTTATAAGAGGTTATGCTGCGATAGCACGGCCTCTCACGCTGCTAACGGGTAAGTTGGTAACATTTAAGTGGACGGCGGAGGAACAGAAGGCGTTCGAGGCATTAAAAGAAGCTCTTACGACTGCTCCGGTGCTGGCATTAGCTTCACCCGACAGAGATTTTTCTTTGTATTGTGACGCTTCAAATCATACAGTCGCTGCTGTTTTGACGCAGGGAGCGGACGATGGAGGTGAGCATGTTATTCTGTATCTTAGTAAACAGTTAGTTGGAGCACAACTCAGGTGGGCCATTGTGGAAAAGGAAGTGTATGCCGTGATTTTTTCTTTATTAACATGGAAACATTTTTTACTAGGCCGCAGAACAATCATTTATGTTGATCATAAACCCCTACGATTTTTAATGACGGCGAAAACATTGACTAACGCTCGCTTGCAGAGATGGGCGGTCATACTGTCTGGGTTTGACCTGCATATAGAATTCAGACCAGGTACAAACAATATTCCAGCAGACGCGCTGAGCAGGCTGGCGACAACCCCAGTCCAGGGGGAGGCTGCCAACGAGAGTGAGAGTGAGCATGAGAGTGCAGCGGACGTATGTTTTGCGGTCGCCGCAGTACCAGCTAGAAAGGGGGTCAACGACCCGCAGCAGCCTATTAATACCAACCCACCATCGCGCGCGCCCTCCAGTGTTACAAATAGAGCGGAATTTCGCGACTTGCAAAAACAGGAAGTAGAACTGGCAATCATTATAAATGTTTTGACCCAACCGCATGTAGCATTACGCCAAATTAAATTGATAGAAGCATATTATATGGAGGAGGAGATTTTATGTCATTTAATTACGACTTCCACCGCTGATCCCCCCGTTTCACAAGTCGTAATACCGCGCTCATTAGTAGAGGCTGTTATGTATGCATGTCACTCGTCGCCGCATGCTGCACACCTTGGGTTTGATAAAATATACCGTAAAATTGCGAATAAATATTTTTGGCCGCGCACGTATCAGCAAATTCACAAATATGTTAAGGAATGTGTGCCATGTAATGCTAGGAAGTTACGGAGAGTCAACGCTCCACTGCACGAAGCCCCTATGCCGACAGCGGTCAATGAGACAGTCAGCATAGATGTCGTAGGGCCGTTGCTGATGACAGAAGACGGGTATAGGTATATAGTTACGTTTGTCGATCTTTACTCTGCGTACCCTGAATGCTACTGCACGACTAACAAGTCATCGGCGACTATTGCTAATTTAATTTTAAATTCATACATCCCGACGCATGGCTGTCCACTTCGTTTTCTTACGGATCGGGGGTTGGAATTTTGTAACTCATTGATGAAGCGTATTTCAGAAGTTTTTCGAATACATCACGTAAAAACGGCGCCGTTTCATCCAGCATCCAACGCGATATGCGAAAGGTTTCATCGTACGATGAATGCGATGTTAGCCTGCTTAGTAACGAGGAACCACACAGAATGGAAACAGGTGTTAGGACCCATTCTTTTCGCGTACAGAACGGCAGAACATAGTACAAAAGGATTCAGTCCTTTCTATCTCATGTATGGCAGATCCCCGGTACTACCCTTAGATACACTCTTGTTACCACGTGACCGTCTGTATGCAGACGACCCAGTATCAATCGCGTTAGATAACATGCATCAAGCGTGTACGCTCATACATGAACGCACCGCGCGAGTGCGGGAACGTAATAAGAAGCTGTACGATCGGAAGACAAGGAATCAACAATTTGAGGTAGGTGACGAGGTTTATTGGTATAATCCTACAGTCATACCCGGAGCCAGTCAGAAGTTAGCTTCGTATTGGCGACCGTATCATGTAATACATGAGAAATTATCTCCTGTACAGTTCCGGATTAGACATGCTCGTACGGGTAATATGCGCAATGTACATGTCGACAGTCTCAGGTTTGCATACCCTACTGGAATATGGGGTAAACCACTAACCGATACTTTACCTCGACAGGGGGGCGGGAGTATCACTACAGTGGAAGGAGGAGGAAATGACGCCACATGAAAGACCCCAGCATGCGTACGATGCTGAGGATAATAATGGCAAGCAAATTTCCTTGCAGTGAGATGAGGAGGACGAAATTCCACTAGCCAGACTCCGGGAACGCCAGCGAGCAACTTTGGCATGTTATGAAATAAGCTGAACATTGGTCCAGTCACTACTGTATCCATCATATATTAATGTCATATGACTGAATGCACATGGCAAATACCTCGCCTAAGTCGATCTCGCACAAGTCGAAAAATCGTCCAAGTCGAAGCGCTACAAAAGTCCCGATCTTTCCTTATGTTTTTACTTTAATAAATCTTTGCCTAAGTCGAAATTCACAAGTCGAATTTCAGCTATATCAAATAATTCTAGTCCCAATGGTTTCAAACCTGTGTTAATTCCATCGCACAAGTCGAAGTCGGAGCTATGCTCTTTGTTTTTACGAACATGTACAGTAATGAACATGCCCCACGCGACTGAAACAATCCGTGCACTGCCCCCCCCCCTGTACTTCAATCAATGCTGCCCAGCCAGCAGGCACGTGCGCCGCCACGATGTGCACAGAGACAGACACCGGTGTCGCGGGCTGCTGTGTAATTCTGACATAGTATACATGTACCTACTATCGACAGATATGATAATGTTGCCTGCTGGTAATCGTAACGGTGATTGTGATATGCAAGATGATGGTTGGTGGTGGTGGAAGTGACGATAATCAATGACCATAAGTGATGACGACGAAGAATGATGGAGAATGACATGTATAAATGTATGGACAAACCGACAAGATAATGATTATTCTATTATTCCACGTAAGTGTTAACTCTCATGACTTGCATCATCAAACCAAACACATGATCACACATTACAATAAAGGCAACACTAGCGAGAAGTGTAATTGAAAACATCAATATCAACACAATACATGTACACGCGACCACAAAGATGCAATTAGACTTTCTCATAAGTCGAAATCTGCGTAAGTCGACGCTTTTTCCTCCAGTCCCGTTGGATTTGACATAGGCGAGGTGAACTGTAATATTTAATCTGTATAAGCACAGATGAATTCACCACTTACCTGTGATTTGGGTAGATTTTCTTCAAGCCACGAATAAGAATCTTTTCTACTTCCTGATCAGTTTCAGTCACCAAATCCGAGTAACTAGACTTTGAAGTTGTCGCTCTCCTATCTTCATTCAATGCCTTTTTAATAATCTGCCATAATATAAATTAACATTTCATCAGATTGGAAAAATGTGCAAATAGGACATTTTTAACTGTAAACCGAGATTGCTAACACAGGACAAGGATAAGGATACGGAAGAAGACGAGGAAGACGGGAAGGGTGAGGATGAGAAAGCAGAGGAAGATATAAAGTGCAGGTAGTAAACATTGGTTGCTGAAATGATCAGAGTGGAAGGTGGCGAAAGAGTATGAGTACATACCAGAGTTAAGGAGGGTGAGAAAATTACATGCTAAATGGCATGAGAACCTGGGATGACATTTAAATCAGCCTTGTGTGTCAGGAGTGTTATGCTCAATATATATGATAGGTGTTGAGTGTATGTGCGTGCGTGCTTGAGTACGTACTCATGTATTGGTGCGTGCTTGCGTGTAACATCACATAACGTCATAACGATTAGTCTTCAATGGCCAATGGAGTATATATTGAAGACACAGAGAGAGAGAAACAAAGTTGATCAAAAGGACAGATAAATACTGCGGATCGTGATATAAAAAGCTTCGATATTGAAATATGCAAAGAAGAATAAAGAGAATTCCAAGAGGAGGTGACAACAACGACGAAACTAAACTAAAAGAGATCCTTTGAAAACATTGTATTGCCAATTAAACAGTATCGACAATGTACGAGTCATTCAGCTCGCTATCAGGCTAGGTTATCAGTGCCTCGTTGTGCGTTGGTAACAGAGTGTGGTAACATATGCACGTACACAAACTGTAGCCTGCTTGCAGTTACGAGAGAGAGGGAGGGAGGGAGGGAGCAAAATACGCTTTACAGTGGATCGCCAAGCTGCGGCATGGCTAGCGCGGCTACAAATACGTCACGCACGAGTAATCATGTGACATATAAGCGGCAGAGATTCCTTATCGCTGCGTGGAGATTTCGAATAAAGTAAAAACCCGCGTATAAGAACCTAGTAATTAAGAACCTGTTAGGCTAAGATTTTCCATTTAGACCCCCTTGACATAAGAACCTGTTGTAGCCTAAAATTTGAAACAGGTTCTTATTTGATAAAATACACTTAACACTTTAAATCTCATAAAATAACTAAAACAAGTACTTGGTGGTCTATATACCTCTATTAGGTGTAAAGGGCATAAAAAAAATAAGAACGTAGAATAGGGTTTGTATTTGTCTAGATTGCAGTCATTTAGACATAATTATATGAATATTTTGTATAAACAATGGACCGCACCAATATTCTACCAGCCACAAGCACCTTTTTTTTCTTAAGAAAATAAGAACCTATTTAAGAACCTAAATAGCCTAATTTCCTCGTAAACACCAATTATATAAGAACCTTTTTAGGCTAACCTGGAAAAATACAGGTTCTTATACGCGAGTTTTTACTGTATATACAAACCAGTGCAGCAACATTACTGCGTGTTGATTTTGACCAATTTTTTTAACATACGTAAAGAATATAAATATATCTACGATATATGTAAGTGTGACTGGGTTATTTTGAAATTTAAAAGTTCAACACTTTTTAAGTATCCTTTAAGCTAGAACCTAGGTTGAAATCCTAGAACCTAGAAAATTCTTGTTATTACCAATGTTGAAAGCGATTCAAATAAAACTGTTATCTTATCTCAGAAGAAGAATGCTGAAGGACGAGATTGCTGCACAGTCTGCCGGGTCTCTATCCGTTTTCCTTATTCCATTCATAATCCGTATTCATTCAGCTCACTTAACACGTTTAACGCTGCCGGTGTCACGGTCTGAGATTACCCTAGACCGAATAATTCTGTCCCAGATAACCTTTTTTTATATTTTGGTGAGGGTTATTGGGACAGAACGGGGTGCATTGAAATTTCGTGAGATCACATGCAAAATGCATGCGCTGCTAATGCGGCCCGTACGCCGGTATCGGCGGGTAAAAAAGCCTACCGTTCCCTTCCGCATGGCTTTACCTAGTCCGAGATTCCTCTGACCAATGCCCACGCCGACGATTTTTGTGAATTTGGTGTGGGTTAGGTCAGACTCAGAGCAACTTGCCAATACAAAACGTGGAATTTCTCCGATCCCGCCGAGGATCGCTGTTTCATCGCTCCAAACTCACAATTGGGACTATCAATCAAGACCTAACGCCCATAGATCGAAAACTGGACGATCTGCAGTCGGATATCCGCGCAAAGCGCGCCAACGCCGCCCTGGCGGCACGCTTTCACAACATCGCTGCACTCTCTGAATTTACTTCAACGGGTCTCTGGACGATCTGCAGCCGGATATCCGCGCGAAGCGTGCCAACGCTGCCCTGGCGGCACGCTTTCACAACATCGCTGCACTCTCTGAATTTACTTCAACGGGTCTCT